ACACATTTTCATGATAATGTGTCGATGTTTAATGAGCTAAATAGTTTTTTCTCCTGCCTCAGAGTGAAGGAGTCACAGTATTGCACAAAACATAATGCATGTGTAATTAATGCAAACACTGAAATCATAATAAAACACTTTTTCTGGTTGACGAAATAAATAATCGCTCCTCAGGTGTCCTTGAGCCATTCACATCTTACTGGAGGTAATGTAAATAATAAATGTTGTCCTTTTCATGGATGGCTGACATATACATATACTGTATATATAATTACCAGTAGGCGGATGTGTGTACACTCATGTAACAGAAGAACAGAGTAAAACAGGAGAAATAAGAGGATGGATAGTTTAATAAGGTGCATTAAGCCATCAGCAAACACACATGCAGACATGTCAGCTGAGAGGATGGAAGCCACTGCTCTCCTCCATGTTTGGTGTTGCTCTGCTAATCTCTGTTCACGTCAGTAAGGATTACTGTGATCAGGTCTCACAGTTTAAAGCCGTGTGGAGGAGCAGACATGGAAAACATTATGACAGGTCGCCATTTCTGTACAGTAATCTATAGGCCGAAGATAAGCGTGTGATTTAACTACACGGACCAACTTGCCTGTGTGTACACCCCCCCATTAGATTTAGTGGCCTTCCTCCAGGCCAACATAAGATGTAATTTACTCCTGATTAAAGTGAGGATTAACCTTGTCAATTAAAATATGATTCTCCCCCCTGAACATCACATTTATGTTAATACAAACACACACACACACACACACTGTCTAAATGACACAATCATCATACTGGGAGCCACTAATTAGCTTCTACAGTTCAAGCTAACAAAACAAGCTGAGGATATATGTGTATATATCAGGAGAAGAGATACCACACGTTAATACTTATAGAAGAGAGTAATTACAGAGACACATTTTTTACCCCTTGACCACACGACAGTACCACAGATTGGGATCTGATCTAACAAACCACTTCTTAAGGTTGTATCACGATGACATCAAACACAAGTGTAAATGCAGTTGCATAGTCAACCCACATACAACAATGTGGGGGAAATAATAATTGCTTTTTTAACAATGTTCATTTAATTTTTTTATGCTAAGCAGGCTAACTGACTGCGGCCTTTACAAAAGAGAGAATGTGTTGACCCTCCAAATAAGCACATTTTCAGAAATGTCAAACTATTCCTTTAAGCAAGCTGCCCGGTGACCGGCAGAATTCAGAAAAACAAGTGCGCATTAATAGACCACTGCATCTTTTGCTTGTTTACACTCATGCACAGTGACGAAGCATAAACTGAACGATCTAATGTCTTATCTTCTGCAACAGGGACCAGACTCACGCTAAGACACAGCTGGCACTTAGCTCATGAATATGAATGAGTGCAGGGCACCTGCAACGTCAATCAGCAGCCACTGAGAAGGTCAGGATCATCTAACAGTGTTTGTTTATGGTTAAAGGTGATGATAATCTCAAAAATTACGACAATATGTGCGTTAGTCATGTTAGAGGTGAAAGAAATGCTTGAACCCACTGAGAATGCAGAAACGAATTGAGAAGTGAAACGGATGAATACTTTACCGTTGGGGCTCTCTTCATCTATGGCAACGATGGTGGCAGGAGGACCCGACCGAGACAGTTTACATTCTGGGAGTGTGAGAGAGAAAAACAGGAACAGTTAGAGTTGATATACACTTTGGGGTTTTCGTCATGATTCTGCCACAGTTTAAAAACTTCTAAACTTCTCATATTTTGAACTTTTGAAGCCGTTTCTGTTTGTGTTTTCTATGGTACGGATTTTTTTCATTATGAACTTTTGATTTATCTTTGTTTGCATTTTGAGTTTCCAATTTCCTATCTTTATTTGTCTTTGTTTTCCCACTCCTGCCCTAATGTGCGACACTAGAGTAAACTAAAGTCTCTGTGCCACCCACTCTCCTCTCTCACTTTGTTTGTTCTCATGTGCTTCTGTTTGTTTTTCCCTGAATTTCTTCCTGCCTACATTCTGCTGGTTTTTGCATTTTTTAGTTTGCCTGCTCGCTTTATTAAATTCCACGTATATACCTCCTTTGCCATGTGGCGTTTGCATTTGGATCCTCACCATTTCGCTGGATGTGACAGTTTAACTTCTTTACAAACATTATAGAAAAGCTTGACTTCATTTGTTTAAAGTTTTTAGAAGGAAAAATTAATAAACAGCTCAGGTTTGTTTCTCTTTCCGTTAAAATCAAGAGGCTGCTGCAATCACCCTGTAAAACCTGAAATGCAGTTAGAGCGTGCACAGTACAGTACTGTGTGTGTGTGTGTGAGTGTGTGTGTGTGTGTCAGAGATGGAGAAGATAAACAACAAAGAACTGAGAGAAATGGGAATTTTAAAAAAAATGATGATGGACAGGAAAGAAAAAAACGAAAAAGTACAAACGGTCATGCTCCGAGGATGACACGTATGTAGGGATGAATAACGGATAAGCTTGGTGGACCCCCTGCAGCCATTTCTGCAGGGTCACCGAGGGTTAATAAACTAACACAGTGACTGAACACACAGGGAACAGAGGAAGAGAAAAGAGAGAGCTCTTACCCTCATATTGCCAATCTGCCGAAAGAAACAGCCCCGTCCCACGAGGAAGGAAGGAGGGGGAGGAGGAGAGGGAAGTTGGCAGCCAAGGGAGAAAAGGAAGGAGAGGAGAAAAACAATTGTGAAAGATAAGAATTAATCTTCAAGACATTACAGCAGGTGAAGTTTTAAAAATAGAGTGAAAGCAAATAAGAAAGATGCTATGATGTGTTTTTTCCTCCTCTATTCACAGCCACCACCCACACTCACTGTATTACCATGTGGAGAAATGATTCTAACCCGAGCTGCAGGCTTAAAATTGGACCCATTCAGTGTTTTGGAAAACAAACATCAACGACATGTAAGGATTCGCCTTCATCCTCTTGGTCCTTACATCCAGGATGCAGGAAATACAAGGACACCCACATTCAGCAGACGGGGCAGCATCATTGGAACGGCTCTCGAGGATGGCCGGGAAAAAAAAGATCCCACAGGAATGACTGCAAGACAGATATCTGCTCACCTAGAAAATAGACTTCATGGAACAATGATCGCACTCTCTCTCCCTCCACTTATCATTCCCTCTCTCTCTCTCTCTCTTCCCCCGTCATGATTAAGCTTTACAACTGTGAGACACCATAGATTATCTCAGGATTCATTGCTATTGTTTCTTGTTTCTTGCTGGGGGGGGGGGTATTGAATGTTCACAAAAACAGATTAAAATGTCCAAGGCCTGCGAATTAGCTTACATCTATAGTGCGGTAAATGACTGGTTTTCTAATTTATCACGGTGAAGGGAGGCACAGACTGTTTTCTGAGTTCATGCTGATGCAGGGCTTGACATTAAGGCACTGACATTAAGGCTCGGCCACTTGTCTGGGAAAAGTAGATTTTATTTGTGAGACATTTACACGCACTGTTGGAAAAGTCATATATAAATGAACAAATAAACTTGAATGCCACAGAGTAGAGCGGAGACACTCCGCACCGAGGCCCGACATCCCCCTCATGAAACCAGATTTTAGACATCAAGGGAAATGTTGAAAAATGCCTTGCAATGTTAAAGGAAGTCGAAAACTAAATTAATCCTGGATCCAACCCCTGATCTGGATCTGCACCAAATTTTAATGGGTTCTTCCTGGGGTTGAGTAGTTGTTGTGTAATCCTGTTAGCAAACAAACAAACAAACAAAGACGAACTTTAAAGTGAAAAAAATAAATCCTGAATCTGCCCCTGATCTGGATTTGCACCAACTTCTAATGGGATCTTCCCCGACTCATCCCATGTCCTTCTGCCAACTTTCATGCTAATCTGACCAGTAGTTGTTGTGTAAAGCTGCTGAGTAACAGACAAACAAACAGTGAAAACACAACCTCAGCGGCGGAGGTAAAAACACGACCCACAGAACAACAGTCAGTAGTTACATCACACTCCACCACCTGGACTGTGAGTGCATCAGATGACAGATGTGTATCCTCTGCTTGACTGCCTGCTTATCCTTCAGTGTAAGCTGATGCCCCTCATCTATTACTAATCATCCATTTGTTCTCTATGGTGCGTCTCCATCTCTGGGTGTCTTCCCTCCTCCGTCTCCCTTCATCTGCCTCCTTCTCTACAGTTGCCAGCCTCTCCAATAATAAAAAATTCAGTGGGATGAAACGGTAAAGTGGCCGGGTCGTAATGCAAAGCGACAGATGAACACGGAGAGATGTGGAAAAGAATTGAGCCAAAACTGAATACCCGGCATACAGGTGACGCTAATTTAAAGCCCAATCCTCACGGTGTCTGCAGGAAATTTTAAGAAATCGTCTGCACGTACTTCAAAGTGTAATCTTGATTTAAACGAACGTGTGACTACGGAAAAGTTTCACCGAAAAGATGAAATCGAGCAATTAAGTTGCCACATTCTGTTAGCGAGTCCTACATTAAATCATGCACTGTTAACTCCTACTGCAGAAACCTCAGGATTAAAAGTGAATTGAAATAAAATGTAAATTCTCCACTCTTCTTTCTAACAGGTCACAGACATATTTCATCCAAATGAAATCCCTGTTTGTCTGAGATATCCAATGCTCCGAGTTAGAACCCTTTTTTTTTGCAGGCACTCGTGTCCCTCGAGTGTCTCCTCATGCTTTACCTCTGCAATTCTTTCCTCATTGATACGCACTTGTCTTCCAACGAGCACTCACTTATTCTCCGCTAAGCTTGCCCTCTTCTGAAGTTTGAGGGAAAAATCACGGAGATGACTTTGCGCATTAACAAGTAAATAAATCCATCTGATGCCAGGTTTCTGCCACGCTGATGGAAAGCTCTGTGGAGGGCTGAGTGAGGTGAAGCGTTCAAGGTGTGAACCACGATGAAAAAAGAAAGAAAAAAGATGTAGAACTTTTAAATAGACTTTTCTGTTCAGACAATATCACAGGCAGTCAATGAGAAACGCTCGTTCCAGATTTATCATCCATCCGACGCCTCATTATTTAAACCTGATGTGTTTCAATCAATAACTTTTATTCCCTTTTCACCTTCTTTCCATTTACATTAGGCAGCAGAGGAAACATGTGCAGGTTGCCAAGGGGGCAGAGAAAAAAAGTCACCTTTCACAACAAAGTTCACTGAGGAGGAGGAGGAGGAGAGTCCACACAGCCCTGTTCAGTATACACACACACAGACACACACAGCTTAGCAACGGTCTGGGAGCTTCATGGCACAACCCCATGTGCACATTCACACCAACCTGCAATCGAACACTCACACATGCTAGAGTTACCATAAAATATACATGATGGGACTTGACTCAGAGAGGGCACCTGGACAACGCTGTGTTTGTGTGTGTGTGTGTGTAGCATGGATTCATTGCATATGTAGACTGAGTCACTCAACAGAGAAAAGGTGTCAAACCTTCAATGTTGTGCTTTTGTTGTAGTATTAATGGAGTAGTTCAATATATATTGAGCACATTCTTCTTTCACATTTCTGAGTTTGAAATGCTGCTTTAGCAGTAGCATTTGAACACAGCTTCCCTTTCTCAAGTCTTTGTGCTAAGCTAAGCTAATTAGATGATGGCTTTTGCTTCAAATTTAACTGACATTTATATATATCATTCGATCGGTGGTATCGATCTTTTGCAATGCACCTATCTGGAAGAGGAAAGAGAATATAGTGTTTATAGTGATACAAGTTAACAGAAGCATATTCAACGAGCTTAAGACAATGCATTGAATCATCTAATAATCTTGTTTGAATTTGTTATACAGGGCATAAATTCCACGGCACCAATATGAAACTCTTCACTTCTAATCTAAGTTCTCATGTAAATCACACAAGGCTTCAAGTCAAAAACTAAATGTGATTTTCTACCACACATTAGAAAACATCTACATGTCTCCAACATACACTGTGTGTGGATGTAGCAATGGAACATACTGAAGTGACTGGTAAAGCTAAGGTCAAGAGAAAATCTGAATACTATTCCCATCTCTATTACATATCATCCAATGAGAAATGAGACGTGTTGTAAGTATCAGATGACGGGAGCAGCATGAGGTCTACAGTACACAGAGTGGAGAACATCACAGGCACCTCTGATCCGTCGGGGCCGTGGCACCGACCGGCCTCCACTGCAATAATTGACTCATTTCATCTGATGATGTTTCAGATTGGGTCTGTGACCGATGAGCTGTGAGCCCGTTTCACACGTAGCAGAAAATCGTATGTAGATAACCAGATTCTAAACTTGTAGGGTTGTTTATAATCCAGTTAAAAATGGTTTGGAGTTGAGTTTTGTAAATGTGGTCAGATGAAACAAAACCTTGAAGCAATCGTTTGTCGTTTTTGGAAATGCACTTGTATGCTGCCTTGCTGAGCATGAGAATGAAAGGGGCGAGACCTCACGTGTCTGTACTGAAAATATAAAGCTACAGACCACATAGCTTAGCTTAGCATAAACACAAGGAACAGAAGGAAGCTTGGCCCTGATCAAGAATAACAAAACTGTGTTAGGTTCAATAATTAGACCTGTAGTGTTTATGTACATCCTGATAGTGACGCAAAATTCTACAACAATGTTAAAAACCTAAATTAAATTAAAAACAACTATGTATTGTAGTAGTAGTGTGCTGTGACGGTGAACTTTCTCAGTTCAAGAGAAACATTTTCTCTCTGGTATGAGTTAATAATAGTTTCTCAAGCTTTGCCATCTTGTTTTTCCCTTTGCCATATTGTGAAAAACTCATGTGGGTTGAAGTTGTACTCGACTGCATTCTGCTTGTGACCATCTGTTAAACACTTGCTTGGCTACCCTGCCTGGAGTGAATATTGTGAATGGGGGAAACCCAGTGATGGTGAACTCCAAAAACAACATGCTGAAATAATGTTTGAGCATATAGCGAGGTAGCCAAGCGGATGTTATTTCAAGAGACGTCTGCGCTGATAAGATTTCTAAGAAGAGTTATTTCTTTCTTTACGACGAGACTGTCCAGCCTGGTGAACCAGACTGAAGTGAAATGGATGATACACAGTGCAACTAGGGAGCAGTTGTCTGTCATGAGATATGCACTTGAATTAAATGTGATATTGAGATATCGCAAATGTCATTTTGCAATAAGAAACCCCGTTAAATCTGGATTAAAATGTCTTTGTCTCATCCACAATGAGAAACAATGTGATTAATGAGGATTAATTGCATCACATTGACCTAATACTGTGTGTGTTTGTATGTGCGTCACATTCCCTCAGCGTGTGTGGCTGTGCAGCCATTAATAGAGATCCACAGGGTTTGTGAGTTAATTACATGCTGGGCCCATTTGAGCAATTTTAGGATAATCTACTTGTTAAAAGAAAAAATGTGTGGAAAAAGCGCAAGTCATTTCTTTCAATAACCTTGATGTTGTCTGTCAGCTTGCAACACTCTGCCGTCACACAACCCCAGAATGCTTTGCCACATAACTGACTTGCTGAATGAAAATCGTTTTAAAATACGTTTCAAAAAATACGTTTCAAAAATACTTTTCAAAAAACATAACGATGTCTTTCAAATGAGA